TCTTGGAGGCAAAAGGTCAAATCACATTTTTCATGTTTCACCTCTGTAATTTCATTGAATGTCAATAATTTCTTCTGCACCTGTCTCTTAGATCAGCCGCAGAAAGAAAAAAAAATTATCCATCAATAAATCAGCGAGAACGTGCTAATACTTGGTTGTTTTTTCACTGAAAATCAAAACTAACACACCATTGACTGAAAACCATCGCCCGTCGAGCGAACAAATGTATTACAAAAGGAAAACAGTACTGAGGCGAGGAGGAGCGCGTTCACACCACATTCTTTTTGTATTCGTATTATTAGTATTACAATTACCTTTTCATTGTCAAATGGATATTGTTATCATCCTAATTTAAATATCATTTCTTTTTTTTTTCATTTTCATTTTTTCCCAGTACGCTCGACCGACGAAGCAAGAAAAGAAGAATTCGAAGTTGCTCTAAGTCTAATCTTCTCGTCACGCCAAGGTTAAAGCAATTTTGAGCAATTTTTTTTTTAAGCAATTTTTTTTTAAGCAATTCTTTTTTTAGCAATTTTTTTTTTTAGCTAAGCAGAAGCTGTTTTTAATCAGCCATGTGCCTTAAGGGTTACACCCTGAAGAATCACCATCCACGACAAAACATTCCCTGACACGTTTACAAGACAAGGATCCCCCGATTGGTTAACGCAATTGAAAAGATTATGATAACAAAGAACAAGTCTCACGAGTAGCTAAAAGGGAAGTCACCTGGCTTCATTTTTTCGATTAGCATTCTGAGATTTTCTAGTTTTCGACCTCTCTGCTCAAAAAAGACAGGCGAACTATGGATATCAAAACGTTGCTTCACAATCTTCGCGAAGAAGTTTCTTCAGTGTCCAGTGAGTACTAATATATACACGGATCCAAAACAACTCCCATGTCTTCACAGTTTCTGTCTGCAGTGCTTGAAAACCTGGCACAGAAAAAGCCATGGACGAGACACAATCAGATGCCCAAGATGCCTAGATTTTAGCAGAGTGCCTGAAAGCGGCGATTTTCCAACCAGTTTTTATCTGAACGGCTTGATTGTGTTTTCCACAAAAGAATGTAAAACCAGTCAAGTTGGATGTGGAAATTGTCACAAGAAAAGCTCCAAGAGTTCTTACTGTTTCGGGTGTTGCATGTTTTGGTGTGGAGAGTGCCTCATTGCACATAACATCATTCAAGGCAATAAAGATCACCGTGTTTTAGCGCTCAAAGACTTTCAAGAAAAGGACTACGAGGAAGTGTTGAAACGACCTTTATTCTGCTCGAAACAGCGGCATGAGAAAGAAGAACTTAAATAGTTTTGCAAGAACTGCGAAACGGCAGCTTGCCAAAGCTGTGTTTTGATAAATCATGCGGGTCACAACCTGGCACACCTTGAGGAGGAAGCGGAGAAGCAAAAAATGGAAATGAAATCCCTGATTGAAATACAGAAGCGCAATTTACAAGCAAAGATTAACACAATGGGTCGACTAAATGAAGACTGCGCTAAATTGATGCAACAACACGAAGACATAAAGAGAGAAGTAAAGACGTTTGTGGACAGTTTGATATCAAATCTAGAGACGAAGAAGCAACTTCTTTTTGCATCAGTGGAACACGAAACGAAGAGGTTCCTAGAAACACTAACAACGCAAAAGACGGAGATTGAGTGAAATAAAGATCATCGAGTCATCGCTGAAAAAAGCTGATACAATTCTAAAACGAAGCACGCACGCCGAAGTCGTTCAACTGAAAAAATCATTGAAGAAAATCTTTCAGGGAGCTGATCAAAGCCGGTCGAAGGACAGTTACCCGAAAAGGCTTCCTGTCATTCCTCCGAAAACCCAAAGACGTTAAACACTGTAAACGCTGAGGAACTTGGAACGTTGCGAATGGCACACCAAACGAAAGCGAGTAAGTCAGATGCAGAAGGCAAAGGACTTGAGGAAGGAATTACTAACTGTAAAGGGCAATTTTTTCTAACTACAAGAGACTCCGAGGGAAGACAGTGTTACAATGAACGTGACCATGTGACGGTGGAGATTAAAGATGAACAAGAACGAGAGTGCATGACGGCAATAAAAATAATTGACAATAACGATGGACTCTATCAGATCAGCTATTCTCCCAGAAATGAAGGAAGATGTGAAGTAACAGTAAAGGTAAACGGGGAACATGTGCGGGGCAGTCAATTTATCGTCCTCGTAAAACCATTTCAGCTTAGACCGGTCTTTTTTTTCGGAGAACAGGGTTCGTTTGTTGGAAAGTTTAATCGGCCTTAGGGGGTTGCAGTGAATGATAATGACGAGATTGCTGTAAGTGATCAAGACAACCATAGAGTTCAAATTTTCAGTAGTGAAGGAAAGTTTTTGAGATCATTTGGTAAGAAGGGTAACAAAGAGGGAGAATTGACCATCCTCGGGGAATAGCATTTCATAATAATGGCAATATTTTCGTGGCTGACAGTCTCGTGCTGATACAACAAGTTCAATGTATTTTCTGTGTTCCGCGGAAACGTGCAGCCAAGCCACTGATTATTTTTTTTATTGATTAGTTCAGGGAACATGTGGGTGGCTCTTAACTTTGCAACCAAACACAGAACTTTTCAGCACACTATACCTGTTACTCTCTGCTCAAAAAGAAACCCCTGCTTTGATCTCAACATACAATTAGTCTCTCATTTTCTACTTATAATCAAAATAAATTGTATTTTGATATAACAACTCTTTTTCATAGTTAAATTTTAGAATGTTACAATTTTAAATTTTACATTTTAGTATTACATTTTAGTATTACATTTTATTTATGACTTTCCTGATTTCAAGCGCAAGATTCTACAGTATGACACTTTTTCATAGTTAAATTTTAGAATGTTACAATTTTACATTTTGCATTTTAGTAGTATTTAGAATTATACTTGTAACTCGAAGATACTAGCATTTGTTTAGCTAATCTAAATTCGAGGTTAAATAAAGTATATGTATATATGTATGTACGTATGTATATATGTACGTACGTACGTACGTACGTAGGTATGTATGTATGTATGTATATGTAAGCATTCTTCTACGGATTTTTAAATACGTACAACTGCTTACATTCACAAGATCTGGCAACCATTAAATACTTTTACAATTCAGGTAATGAAGGGTGCCGCCGTTGGAGGCCTGGACACAACACTATGTTTCCATTTAATGTGTGTTTATCAGAATTTAATGTTTGTGTTGTAAAGTAGTAGTTCTGCACAAATAAATTAGTTGCTTTCCAAAATCTGAAGGTATGCAATTATCCAACACACGCGTGTATCAGTAGGAGAGACTGTAACCAGGTTACCAATGGTTTCCACATCGCATTGGCTCAAGACTTTGACCCTTTCGAAGTCAGTGGCTAAGGATTGTTACCGCCTAAAATCGGGTTATTTGATGCCGCGCCTCTTTGACGCGAGAGAATTCAATAGCCGCTTCAAACTATTTGTAAGATAACTGAACTCAAGTTGAAAATGTCACTTCTCTCTACTGATCTACGGAAAAAGTAAAAAATTCAAGATGTACCGAAACCTCCCCTATAATTAATTTTGAGTTGTCACTGACCCCGTTATTCTACTAACTATAAGAACCGCATACACCGATCCTTTGTTCTCCTGTTAACAATGGGCTTTATCCTATGTATATCACAACAAACCTGATATTGGCTTCAAGACTGCTGACCCTTTTTTCAAGCATTGTCCTTGCAAAGACGAAGATACAAAAGGATAAAAACACTACGCAAATTAAGGAGGCGGCTCTCGCCAAGTTCCTTTTACCATAAGTATTATCATTTTTATAAGTTCGTTCGCGCGACCGACGAAGAAGAAAAAAGCAGTTGCTTCAAGTTTAACGGCTCTCTCGTTACGTCAAGGTGAGAGCAATTTCAATTAACTGCAAGTACACGTTAGCAGAAGCTATTTTAAGTTCAAGATATGCCTTAGGGGTTATATTGTTAAAAATCAGCATCCACGACAAAAATATTCCCCAACATGTTTACGAGACAAGGATTCCTGGTTGGCTGATGCAATGAAAAATGAACATTATCAGAACAACTAACCAAATGGACAAACTCACAAGTCTTCATTGTTTCGTGCCGAATTCCAAGAATCTAAGCTACTAATTTCGCTCCCTCCCCAGAAAAAGACAGGCGGTCTATGGATATCAAAACGTTGCTTTACAATCTTCGTGAAGAGGTGTCTTGTCCAGTGTGTGGTACCATTTACACGGACCCAAAACAACTCCCATGTCTTCACAGTTTCTGTCTGCAATGCTTGAAAAACTGGCACAGAACAAGTCATGGCCGAGATACAATCAGATGTCCGAAATGCCAAGTTGTTAGCAGAATACCCGATAGTGGCGATTTAAAAGATCTTCCCACCAGTTTTTATCTAAACGGCTTGATTGATGTGTTGGCCATTAAAGAATGCAAAACCAGTCAAGTTGGATGTGGAAACTGTCACAAGAAAAGCTCCGAGAGTTCTTATTGTTTCCATTGTTGCATGTTTTGGTGTAAAGAGTGCCTCGTTGCACATAACATCATTGAAGCCAATAGAGATCACCGTGTCTTGGCGCTGAAAGACTTTCAAGAAAAGGACTATGGGGATGTATTAAAACGACCCTTGTACTGCTCGAAACAACGGCACGAGAAAGAAGAACTTAAATACTTTTGCAAGAACTGCGAAACGGCAGCTTGCCAAAGCTGTGTTTTGATAGATCATGCGGGTCACGCCATTGCGCACCTAGAGGAAGAAGCGGAAAAACAAAAGTTGGAAATGAAAACCATGATTGAAACACAGAGACGCGATTTACAAGAAAAGATTAACACTATGAATCAACTCAGTGAAGAATGCGCTACATTGATACAACAAAGCGAAGACGTAAAGAGAGAAGTACAGACGTTTGCAGACAATTTGATTGCAGCCATTGAAGCGAAGAAACAAAATATCTTGACAGCAGTGGACGATGAAACGAAAAGATTCCTCGAAACTCTAACAACCCAAACCACGGAGTTAGAGAGCGAAATAAAGATCATCGAGTCATTGCTGGAAAAAGCTGATACAATTCTAAAACGATGTACACACGCTGAAGCCGTTCAAGGGAAGAAATCAATGGAAAAAATTTTTCAGGGAGCTGATCAAAATCAGCTAAAGGACTGTTTCCTAAAGAGTTTCCGTACCTTTGTTTTTAGAGAAAACCTAAAGATATTTGACACAATAAATGCCGAAGAAATTGGAACTTTACAAACGGTAAGCCGAACAAAAGCAATTCAATCAATTGTTAACGGCAAAGGAGTTGAGGAAGCAATGGCTACCCGTGAATCGCAGTTTACTTTGACTACAAGGAACGCTAAAGGAAGACAGTGTTACGATGAACGCGACAATGTAACAGTGGAAATTAGAGATGAAAGAGAACGAGACTACGCCACGGACTTGCGAATAATTAACAAGAAGGATGGACGCTATCAAATCAGCTATTCTCCCAGAAATGTAGGAGGGTGTAAAGTGACAGTAAAGGTAAACGGGGAACATGTTCGGGGCAGTCAATTTATTGTCCCCATAAAACCATTTCAGTTTAGACCTGCCTTATCTTTTGGACGAAGGGGTTCGTCTCTTGAAAAGTTTCGTTGGCCTTGGGGGATTGCAGTGAATGCTGGGGATGAGATTGCTGTAACTGATCAAGAAAAACATGTAGTTCAATTTTTCAATAGTGAAGGAAAGTTTTTAAGATCATTTGGTAAAATGGGCGCCAAAGCGGAGGAATTGAACCATCCTCGGGGAATAGCACTTCATAATAATGGCAATATTTTCGTGGCAGACAGTTATAATCATAGAATCCAAACTTTCAGTGGGGAGGGTAAGTACGTGGGAAGCTTTGGTACTGAAGGAAAACCTAATACTCGGCTTAATAATCCCTTGGGTTTATCTGTTGACAGTGATGGGAACATCATTGTTGCTGATGCAGGTGCCAAACTGGTTAAGATTTTTTCTCCTGATGGTACGTTTCTAATGAAGATAGGTGAACAGGGCTCCTTTACATTTCCTATCCATTGTATTCAGTATGGCAGATATCTCATAGTGTCAGACAAGGGCGACCAATGTATCAAAGTTTTTGACAGGAATGGAAACTTTCAGTACAAGTTTGGAAAGCAGGGTGAAGGGGACGGAGAGTTTAATAGTCCAAGAAGTTTGTCAGTGAACAAGTCAGGACAACTTATGGTTTGTGACGAATGTAATCATAGAATACAAGTCTTTGAACTGAATGGAAAGTTTGTTGGTAAATTTGGAACACAAGGTGGTCATTTGGGAGAATTCAATGATCCACATGCACTAGCTATTCTCAGTACAGGACAATGTGCTGTAATTGATAAAGGTAACCATCGTATTCAGATATTTGAGTAGTCTAAGTTTGGTATATCATTTGACTTATTTTGGCCAGGGTTAAATTTAATTGGTTAATGTAAGTTTCACATAAATTAATCAAACAGAAATAAAGGGTAAATAATAGGAAATGGTAGAGACATTCTTTACTGTGAAATGGCAAGACTGAAAAATAATCAAATCCAGTATCTATGTATTAAGTATTTGAACTATTCCGATATAAACGTATTACTACTAAGAATGTAGACTATGGTACTACGATTTTTGTAAGCAGTATGTAATTAAGGTGAAGAGCTTTTTCGAATAAGAGCTTTAAGTGCTGGCTGAATCAAACCAATGTATGTTTCAGTCAAACACAGAAAATACATTGAAAATGAAAGACCAGTGGCTGTATTAACATAGGAAGGTCATTGGTTTTTTTGTATATGATTAGTTCAAAGATCATGTAGGTGGCTTTCCATTTTTTCAGCCAAATACAAAACCTTGTCAACAAACATCTGTAACCATCAGCTGAAAATAGCTTTTATCTTAAGTAATGATTAACCTGGCATTTCAAAATAAAAATTCTTATCATTACTTTGTACTATGAGAAGTATATGATTAGTTCAGAGAAAATTTGGGTGGCTTATGAATTTTCGGCCAAAAACAGAACCTTGTCAACAAACATTATCTGTAACCATCAGCTGAAAAATAGCTTTTATCTTCATCAATGATTAGCCTGCCATTGTTATTAATATTTTGTACTTTGAAATGTAGATACAATGCTTAGAATTGAAAATATATGTAAGAGTTTACACACTCACACAATGCTTACAGTCATATATGTAACTGGAATGAGGGGCTTTGTAATTGGAGTCCTGGGCATAACATTATGTTTCCAGAACTGTGTATTCATTTCAATTCATATAGTTTTGTTGTAAATAAGAAGTTCTGCACAAGCAAATTACATAGTTGCACTCAGATATAAAAATTGAACTAACTTTGTATAACATCAGATCATCAGAAAAATAAAGTATGTGTCTGCACTGTTTGGCCTTTTGTATTTCTTCAAGATTTCATCATCATTATTAACGGTATCAATTTATCATTATCATCTGTTTCAATCTCATGAGTTATCAAGACAAAATTTCTCTTTACTAACAATGCCAAGCAGACAAATAAGGAGAAAAAAAAATCAATCAGAGGATAACTGGTTGATCCAAAACCAAATTCTCCAAACTAAAATCATATGAATTGTTTGGAAGATACTGAGACAGATCTTGTGAATGAAAAGGTTAAGAAGCATGACAGAGGCAACTTTCATTCCTGGGTAAGGTTAAAATTTATTTCAAAAAACATAGTATAGCAAAACTACCTCCCTCACTGAATCAATTACCACTCCATAATTTCACAATTTACTTACTTTCGGTTTGTCTTTATCTTCTTCCTCCTCATTTTCCTCTTCAATAACAACTCCAAGATCAGGCTCTGGAGGAATTCCATAATACACCTTACTCTTGTTGGCTACAGTGAGACAAAAAAATATTTTCACAATAAGTTTCATGAACACACAGTTTCCACTTCAGAGGATAGCTTGCTCAATTATAAACAGTTTACACTTCAGAGGATGACTGGCTCATCTTCACTTTAAGCTGAGCTTGAAACTACACTTTATACTTCCTCTTGTCTCCAGTCCAGTCCCTGAACTCTCCATTACACACCTCATATAAGTAAAGCGCATGGTCTGATTGGTCAATTTAGCGTCCCCCATTTGCCTATGGGTGTACGCTGCTGATGTGAGCAAATGCAAAGACTATTTTCCCGTGCACGCTTGTTTTTTCTGGTCACATAAGATTTGTTAAATAAAAGGTAACTCTTTACCTACAATGTATCAATGTTATGTTATAAAACAAGTGGTAAACACCACAGCATACACTATTGAGTTATGGATGCACTTGGGAGGTTTGCTAAGCACTCAAGAAGCTAGAGTTGCTCTCGGCTATCGCCTTACACAACTCTTACGCTTCTTTCGTGCTTAG